TACTTGTGACTTCTTGCCCTCTGTCTACTACTTACTAAGAACAAATATGAGGTGAACATTGATCACTGGGAAATGAAGGCTTCTGGTATATTCCTTATAATGTAGGAAGGAAAAGCATGAGTTTTTACTGGTACATCAAAGCCCCAGAGACTCACCACTTGGGCAGGACCTTTCCTGAGGAGCCCAGGACACAACCTGTGACCAGATGGATGAGACGAATTTGACTTCTCAGCACTTTGATCCGGTTTCCAAATTTTCGGTTTACCACCTCAATCCGCCAGAAATCATTTGAGTCCCCTGTCCCATTCTGCCACAATGACAGTGAGATGACTTTAGAGGAAAGGTGTCAGAAAAGGGAGGTGGTCAAAGCAAAGGCTCCTCTCAGATGCCACCATGTTATAAAGGTCAAAGACCAAAGCACCTTGAACTAGTTTCAGTGAATGAGGTGGAAAGGGAAGAAGAGGACCATAAAAATATCCCAGGTAACTAGCACCACCCAACATCACGATCATACCTAAGATCAGAACAAGTCCTAGAGCCAGAAGTCCCAATTCCACGCTTCATACGACTAGACCTTAAGTTCTAATTACAGTTCTGCCTTGAAATCATCAAATTCAGGATGTCAGCTTGAGCCAACAGAAATACATCTGGGTCATTCACATCCATTACTGTGGCCACCTAGACACTCATCTAAGCCGGGAAGTCATGGCCTGAATCCTGCACTTTAAAAATCAAGATAGTGTTGTCTATTCTCATCAGGACAAGCACACAGGAGAGTCTTGGCTCTAGAACAGTATGGAACAAGTAAACAGAAAGAGGGTTGGCACTCCCCTTTACGGAACCCAGAATCTTTACTGAAGCACCAAAGCCCTCAAAAGGAGATGTAACTAAGAGTCATAAAGAGAGCTTCCCATTAGTTGTCTTTGTTTTCAAATTACTCCACAAGCCATAGCACTCAGAGCTTCCTCTATTAACTGCATCTCTCTGAGGTAGTAAAAATCTAAAATTCATGTGGATAACATTCCTCTGCAGATGAGGGAGATGATAACTTAAAGTCAAAGCCAATGAAAATTTGAGATCTGGCAAAGGATAAACTTGTATATTTATCTGGGGCCATACTGTGGCCTTTCTATGTCCAATGTTATTTTTACACAAATAGTATCTGGTAGCATAGTGGCTAAGACACTTGCCTGCTAACCAGACTGCTGGTGGCTCAAACCCACCAGCCACTCCTCGGAAGGAAGGTTGGGCAATCCTACTTCCATAGTGATACTGCCTCGGAAACCCAAGGAGGGGTCGTTATGAGTCAGGTTTGACTCGACGGCACATAACAACAACAACAACAGTATTCATATACACATATTGCGGAGCACTGCTGGTGTAGTGTGTAAGGCATCTGACTGCTAACCAGAAGGTTGGTGGTTCAAACCCACCAGCCAATCTGAAGGAAGACTGGGCAATCTACTTCTGTGAAGATTTACCACATTGGAAACCCAATGGGGGTCACTATAAGTTAGAATCAACTTGATGGCAGTGAGTTTGGGTTTGTTTTTTTTTCCCAAGTATTCATATTTGACATTTATTAAGTGTCAGAATATTTAAATGGCATAGTTACTATGGGAGGAACTGGATGGGGATAAATAGACCTCATAGGTTGCTTTTCACTGGGAAGTCTAACCAAATAGTTTCCAAATGCCAAATGTTAGAGTCCCTGTGCACAAACCTCCAATCGTTAGAACATTCCAGAATCTAGGGAGGATTTCTACCACAGCCAGAATCCACAACTTTTTACATCCTGCTCACACTGTTACTGCTCACTTACTATGCCATAGCCAGTGACTTGATAGTGCTTCCGGGTCAGGGGCGCCTCATGATAGTGACTGTGCAAGTTCCGAGAAGTCCTGAAAGTTAAGAGAGAAGTGATTCTCTGGAGTTATCTGGGGATAAAAGTGAGATATGCAATGCTTCTTCCTTTATCATGAACATTCCCAGTCAGCTATCGGGATAGGAAAAATTGTAATTTAAACTATGAAATGCAACATGTCAGAAACTTCGCGCCTAGTTACTAACAAAATACCCAGAGAACTGGCGAAGAGCCCAAATCAGGAGGGACAGATGGCAGCAGTACTGAACTACATTCCAAAAAAGGGGCTGCCTTCGGGTGAGGGCAGGGTGAGGGTGGGGGCTGCCCTCAGGTGAGGGTGGGGTGGGGGTGGGGGCCGCCTTTTACACATTTGGTGGCTTTGAAACACTTAGCCAGTCTGACTATTGAGGCAGGTTTGGGGAGAAAAAAAAATTTGAATCTCCCAATCTATATATGTCCTGAGGCAGGTAAGCCTCCTCACTCCCATCACCAGTTTTCTAAATTGGGGATCTGTCGTGAGGAAAAAGCCCGCTGCTGTCCAGTCAGGTCTGACTCACAGTGACCCCTCCTTGGGTTTCCAAGGCATTATCACTACAGAAGTAGATTGCCCAACCTTCCTTCTGGG